TATATTTTTTTATTATTATTATTATTGATTTCAGACAGGAAAAGAGAGGGAGAGAGAGATAGAAACATCAATGATGAGAGAGAATCATTGATTGGCTGCCTCCTGCACACCCCTTACTGGGGATTGAGCCCACAACCCAAGCATGTGCCCTTGACTGGAATCAAACCTGGGACCCTTCAGTCCGCAGGCCGAGGCTCTATCCACTGAGCCAAACCAGCTAGGGCAACCTAGGAGCTTTGACAAGAGAACTGTGCCCATCTTTGGTGACCTTTCCCTGCATCCTCCAAGAGCCACCCTGCAGATACAGGCTCACCCTGCAGTCCCCCTCCCAGCTGGGTAAGAACTGCCAGCCTGTGAAAGGCAGTCATTCTGTGGGCTGCTATGGTCACAAGGAAACAGTCCCTACAATCCAGCCCACCAGGTCTGGGGCCTCCCTGCCTGAGAGGTCATGACAGTCAAATACTTTGTTAGGCAGCCCAGAACACTGACCAGAAAGCTGAAATGAGAAACAGGTAAAAGTAAAGACGGCTCATAAGTCAACTCTCATGCTTGGGGCTGCCTGAAGCACTGTGCTGAGAAGCTGCACGGAGAAGGAATGCATGCCACAGGAAGCATGCCATGTGTGCACTGCCATCCCTGACGTGACGACATATGTGCCTTTACCTAATAGTACCCATGACTGTCTGTAAATAAAGGTATGCTTACTGAATAATACTCAAACGTGGCCAGGTTGGAGGACAGAGATTTACAATAGTTTCGGCTCTCTTCCCAACTTCTTTTAATAAGTGAGATGTAAAAGCAATTCGTTGCCATCAGTATCCATCCCAGGGGACAGCAGGTGTCTAAAAAACAGAAAGAGTGTGACAGCACAGCCCAGACCAGAGCGAGATCTCAACACTTGGAGTGAAAGTGTTGCTCAGAGATCTAGTTGCTAACAGTGGTCTCCAGTCTACTCTCAGCCCCTTCATGACTTCTAGTCCTTGATCTTTGCAACCTTTCTGGAAATGCAAAGCCTGCGTATACTTAGTGAAAGCCTTAACATCCAACAACTTTCTCCTAACCATCTGGGAGGTTTATTTTAATAGGGCTAGCCGTACTATTCCCAAACACACCTCAAGCTGCTAGCCAACCTCCTGCCCTCTCCACTCTTCCACAAGTAGACAACCTTGGTTCCCATTTTGCTGAAATTGTCAGACACTTGATGTGAACTCTCTCCATTTCCCTTCCCTCCACCTCAAAATGTGTCTCTTCTCTGTTTCTTTTTTCCTGACCATCCATAAGAAATAAACCACCCACTTTCTTTAACATCCTACACCTCAACCTGTGCTCCTGACCCCAACCCACCTCTCTCCTTGCTTTGTTCCATCAGTCCTACCCCCCGTCACTCAAAAACCATTCTTTCCCCACTAGCTCCCTCTCTTCTGTCTACATTTTCTCATGTGCCCACTCAACTACCCTCTGGAATAAATAGTAGTTGCAGTTGCAGTTATAGTTCTTGCCCCACCACCAGACTGCCCTTTGTAAATCAGTAATTTATTTTTTAATTATTTTTCCCACCATCATTTATCCCCCATATGCCTTTTTCCACCTCCACCCTCCCTCTTCCCTAGTATATCAGTAATTTAAAGGAGTAAAAAAAAAAAGTTGGTGTGGTCAAACTGAAGAGGGTGAGGGAAGAAGTGGTATGCTGAAAGACAGGCAGGGGCCTTGAAAGCCATGTTAAGGGGTTTTTTGTTTTCATATTCCAAGGAAGAGAAAGTCAGTGTGGGGTTTTACATACAGGAATGTTGCTCGCTGCCTGTATCCCAATGCCTGGGCACGGTGCTGGACATATAGTATGTATTCCATAACCTTTGATTAATTAATTACCTGGGATTATAAGATCAGATTTTTGTTTTTAAAGGAGTACCCTGGCTGCAATATGAAGAGTGGAATGAGGGTGTAGGGGGGTGTTTAGGGAGAACATCCAGCAAGCTGTTGCAGTTATCCTTGCAAGAGATGGGGGTGGGCAAAATGTAAGTGGACACATAGACTTGGTGGTGGGAAACGGAGGGCATTCCTCTCTAACCGAATAGGGCTTCTGCTGAAAGCCAGACGGGGCGAGCGAGGCGACCACTGCGGAGTTGCCAGGCAGCGCTGAGGCCCCAGCTGAGGTTCAAACTAGAGTTTCAAGGCACCAAGCAGAATGACTGCACAACGTGGCTCACCAGGGTGCAGGCACGGGCAAGGTGGGCAGAGATATCTCATCCGGAGTTGAGATATCGCCAGTCAGGGGCACCAGAAGGACAGTGGGACAAAGGAGTGAGTGACTGAAGTGACGCCCGGAATGCAAGATGAGCAGAGAGAAGTGAGGACAGGTGAGGCTGCCAGGAAGGGAGGAGACAGGGTTCTCCATGGGGCCGAGAACTCCGCGAGGCTGAGGAAGCGTGGGGAGCCTGGAACAGGCAGTAGTGGTCAGAGTGAGGTCTGACACCGTCCTTTCAGCAGTTGGGATGCTGAGCTCAGGTGCAGCTGTGAGTGGGTGGCAGCATGGCATGGAACTGAGGGTCATAGAGATTAACAAGGTAAAAAATAAAACGGGGGTTGAGGGTGGATGCACATAACCTCCATCCCTCACAGCACACCTCCCGCCTCTCCTCTCCCAGAGCAGATACCTGAGGGGTGGTGGTGTTCCAAGTTGGACTTCGGCGTTTCCGGCACGCAGAGGGGCTTCAGCGTGTCCCGCCAGCGGTTCAGCCTCTCCTCCACGTCCCTCCTCTGCGTCTCCTCACGTCTCAGGGCCTCCTTTGTCTCCTCCCAGCCGGCCAGCCAGTCCTGTGACTGCTTCCTGACAGCCTGGCAATCGCGCTGTTCCACCTGCAGCGCTTCCCGCGTCTGGGCCAGCTCCCTCCTGGAGCCCTGCAGCTCCCGCTCCTGCTGGCCCAGCTGCGCGCTCTGCAGGCGGAGCTGCTGCCTCAGGCTGCTGTTAGTCGTGTCCAGGGCCCTGCTCGTGTGCTGGAGCTGCTGAGACACCTGCAGATCTGCTCGGCCAGAAGGAGAGACGTGGGTGCCCTGTGCCCTGGGACCCCGCGCCAATCCTTCCCCTATTGCTTGCGACATTCTGCACGCCAAGCTGGAATGGAAGCTCTGGCTGCCTGAAGTTCAAGGAGTGACTGGACTGGGTGAGGTTAATTTAGACTCGGCAAACTGGGGCTCGAGAGCCACATGCGGCTCTTTGGCCCCTTGAGTGTGGCTCTTCCTAAGCCTTAGGAGTACCCTAATTAAGTTAATAACAATGTACCTACCTATATAGTTTAAGTTTAAAAAATTTGGCTCTCAAAAGAAATTTCAATCGTTGTACTGTTGATATTTGGCTCTGTTGACTAATGAGTTTGCCGACCACTGATAGAGCAAGACCAGGCTGGAAACCAGACCCCAAGCTTAGGACGGGGTGGTGGTAACTCCGGCCCCTGCTGGGGGAGGGCAGCTGCTGGGGGAATGCGGGGAGTGGGAGATGGGAGCCATACTCACAGCGCACCCCCAGGGCGATGGCAGCCACCCCTAACAGCAGGCAGGTGAGGAGCAGGCCCAGAAGGAGGTATTTCCAGCAGGTTGGGCTGCCCTGGCCTTCGGGAGACAGTGGCACGAGGCGCAGTGAGCCCAGGAACGAGT